TAATAAGAAAGACAATGCATTCAAAGAAGAGAAGGGAAAGGGCATGGAAGAAGAAGAGGGAAACAAAGGCAAATATGACAGTAATTGCAAAAGACCGACCTCCAGAAGATCAAGATGGCCATATGCTATGGTGAAGACGCCCACTGTTGGATCCACCACATGGAACCGTACTTTGAGATCGAAGTTATCGAAGACATTGCACAACTTAAGGAAGGAACTGTCTAAGAGTATGTGAATAACTTCGAGAAGATGACAGGTTGGCTGAGGGAATTGCTAGAACAGGTCTTGGAAGGAACGGTCATCAAAAGGTTAGAATCGAAATTCAAATCATCAGTAAGGGTCATGCAACTCAAGGGTCTAACCAACACAATGGTATTAGCGATTATGATCAATGAAAATCAAGCTCATGAGAACGAGACAAAAAATTATAGGGAATTAGGAGACGATCCACAATTTAAGCAATATTCAGTTCCAGAACTGAGATTTCCACCTTGAGGACAAGGTGTTTGTTTGGGAGGGGAATAATGATACGACTCGCCGATAAGGTCAACATTATCGACTAATTAGTAATTATTTAATTATTTATCTAAATTAGGTAGTAGCTATCTTAATTTGAAATTAGGATATCTATTAGTATCTTTTAAATTAGGATACGATTATCTAGTAACAATTATATATAGGGTTTCGATATGTCTTTTTGATTAATGATGGAATAAATATTATAGAGCCTTTACTCTGTTTTAGAGAATCCTTATGTCACGAATAATAGGTCTTATTAGGAAATTGATTATGCATGAATGCACAGATTTGTAATTATTTGACTACAAAAATGAGTAACACCAGATAAAGTAGGAGCTACATACATAATTTTCTAGAGGAATTGGTCGAACATGATTTTGTATGGTCGGGCGTAACTCTTCATGTGAAAAAGATGTTGAAGTACTAGGATAATTAGGAAACTCATTCAAAGATGGAGAAATAGAGGATTGATTGTATGTGGTATCATCAATATTTTCCACATCATAACACACATTTGGGATATATATATATATATATATATATATATATATATATATATATATATATATATATGTATATATATATATATATATATGTATATATATATATATATATATATATATAACTTAAATAATTTAGAAGATAGATGTGGTATCATGAATATTTTCGACATCACAACACTTTCTGGCTTATTGACCAAAAGGGCATCGTACAAAAATGCAAGGATGAGCACGGTCCATGAATTTGTCACATACTATTGGTAAAGAAGAAAGAAAACAAGCACAACAAAATTCTTTAAGGGATGTGAAGTTAGGTTTTTCTATTATATAAAACCTTAAAACGAATGCATTTGATGCTGACTTGTAATTGAGTTTTAATGAGAGATAAAAAGGCTTGAATTAGGGAAAAACATAACTTATATGATTTAGAAGATAGAACCATGTGTGTCTTGTGAAATCATTAATGATGATTATAAAATATTTATAAACATCATGAGTAAGATGTTTATAGGGGCCCAAACGTCAACATTAAACAAGATCAAATGGAGCTTTAGAATTAGAAGTGTTATGAGGTTAATACAAAGATGATTGTTTATCTTTAGCACAAGTTAAGCATTTATCAATATCACTATAATGATAAGTAGAAGAAAGATTCAATAGGTTTTTCAGAGTATCTAAAGAAGCATGACCAAAATGTTTATTCAACAACATAATGTTTGAAGTAGAATTGAATACATGAGTAGATAATAAAAGAAAAAACACATTAAAATTAAATGAAGGATTTGATTGAGATCATGATACTTCAAAATCTACAAATCATTTATTCTTTTTCCAAGAACAACCAGTTCTATACTACTGTTTAATGATGGGTCCAACATGAGACATCTCTCATCAGTAAACAAAACATATGTTTGTAACTATGATTTGAGTTTGATGATAGAGATGAGATTGTAATTGAAGGATGGAACATATAATCCATCATTCAAGATTATTGCATCATGTATTTAAACATCAACATAATGAGAGATGAATAAAGTATGGCTATTAGGTATCAAAATTAAATGTGGTTGTGTGAATTTGGCCATACATAAAAAAGGATGTGAATTAGAACACATATGATTTAATACTCCAGTATCGATGATAAAAGATAAGTATGGTGGAAAAATATTGAAGAATTATACACATTAGCAACAAAATATGTAAGGAAAAAGAATTACCATCAACATGTATTCCACCATGAAGTATAGAAGAATTAGCATGAGTTAGAGCATATGAGTAAATGTTGTTTTGATTGAGAGGTTGAATGAGATGTTGATTTTTTTTCTTGACAAATAGTTGATGATAAATGAGTAGTTGCAATCTGAATAATAGATTTAGGTTCCCTTTTCTTTGATTTTTTGAATTTGAACATAGATGGAAAGCCAATTAACTGGTAACACTGAGACTTAGAATAACTAAACATCTTGTAATGAGATACACACCAATGTTTCTTTAAAGAAATATGTATTTGATCATTAGATACAACCATAACAATTGTATCAATGTTGATAGTGTAAGGAAGATTGATCTCTTGTGGCCTTGCTCCTGTATGATCATGGAGTAAATAGTAGAAACCGTTGGAAGTGGCTTCATCATCAAAATTTGACCTCAAAGAACTTTATAAGTGAAATTTAAACCCATACCAAATTAAATCAAGCATTGATCTTCAAGATATTTATTAATGCCAATACCAACAATACCTGTGTAATCTAGATTGTGTTGAACAATTCAAAGCTCATCCCAGATCTTTATCCATTTTGTTAAGTAAATGGAAAAATAATCAGATCCTTATGAAGAAGAATACAAATGTTGGTGGATTTGATAAATGAGAGCAACGTGGACTGTTTATAGCGATGATTAAGGTTTTTGCATATTGCATGAGCAGTTTGAAGAAATCAAACGCTATCATCGATGTTTCGACAAACAAAATTTAACAACCAACTACTTACAATAGAGATGACTGTGTACCAGCATGCATGTAATAGAGAATTAATTAATGATAGAGAAATGGTTTTATCGTCGAAAGAAAGGTTCTTTTTGGTAGATAGAACGATAATCATCGATAGTTTCCAGGTGGAAAAGTCAATTCTAGTGAAATCATTAGAAACAAGAAGAGTGCTTGGATTGTCAGATGATCCAAGTTCTTAAAAGGTCTTGATGATTAACAATGATAGATTGTGTATAATCATTTTCAAGAGCATACATGATTGATCAAATTGAGATTGAAACAGACAAATGAATATGAAATTGAAGAGAATTTTGAAAGATTAAGGTCAATAATAAAAGAGAATTACAGAAGATCGGATCGAAGTAAATACTTGTACCATGCTAAGGTCGATAACAATTAAGAGAGAGTTTTGACATCATTTTTTAATATTGCATTAGAAATGATCAAACTATAATAATACATATATGGACAGATGAAATAGAGTACAACTACTAACTATATTACCTAACAGAATTAAAGAGAAATTACTAATCTATCCTTTAGTAGTAACTAACTCTAAGTTAGAGTTAGTTATTACTAAGGGGTAGATTAGTAATAACTAACTCTAACTATTTTAGTTTATTGTAACTACCAATGGCGTGATTCTAAATATCATGTAAATAAAGGTTTTTTATGCTATTATTTATCTTATGAGGGGTAATTTTAGATAGTGGCTTTGTTTTTCATATGCTCTTATTATATGCATTATAACTTCATAATTTTATATTTTATACAAATTTGTGGAGTACAAAAGTTATATCGACCATATTTAAAGAATAAATAATAATAACGTCATTAATAATTGTATTTCAATTTCTTTCGCACTAAACATTTCAAAGGTTCCCTTGGCGATGGGACTAGTGATGAAAGAGTGGAATTCCACACATAACGTCAGAGTTCAAATCCTACACATGCAAAATATTATTAGTGCTCTGTGATTGACCTAACTTATAGATTAGTACGAGTTAACTTTGGACGCTCAGATGATGTAGTTTACTATTTTCTTTTTTTGAAAGGTTGTTGAACTTCATATTCATTAGATGCTCAACATCACACTAAAATTGATTTTTATCTATTAAAACACAACTAAATATTCCATCTCATTCAAAATTTTCATTAAACTATGCATTATAGGGCCATTTGTTTTTGAGAATGGGGTTACTTTTGCTTTTATGTTTTTTCCTTTTATTAAAATTTTATCTAAATAAAAAATCATAAGTTATTCTATATAACATATAGCATTACAAATTTTGTTAGCATCTTTAACATATGCACCAGATTTTGTTTTTCGAAAAATAAAATTTGTCCTATGTCGGAAACTCAATGGTTGATTAGTGAAATTCTAAAAAGATGGTTTGATCGTTTTAATACAAACTAGCTAGCTCCTTTTAATGTTGGCCACATTTATATTATACGAATACTAGTCAGCAAGTTAAGTAAATTAATTCCAATCCGAAATACTGACAGCCTTATCTGTCGATATTCCATCGGAATAGGACGATAATGAACCGGTAAATCATGCCAACGGTATTCCGTCGTTATTTTTCTGATTTTTGTAGGCATTTTGTTGTTTTTCTAATAGCGAGTACATATTAAAAGTTTCATTATTTTGCATTTTCCATGGTAGTTTTTTATTGTATGCGTGTATGTTTTTCTTTCGGCATAAATTATATATCGAAATTTATGTAAGATAATCTAGATTATCTTACATAAAATATATTTAGTATTACAAGGATTTTTTTTAAAAACTATCAAATAAATCAAAGTCCAATTGCTTTTATTATTTGTTCATAACTTATGTTAATAGGGGTGTAAGGATTTACTAAAAGTTCAACTAACACAATTAATGTCATGCCAATTAGTTAATCATATTTAAAAAGAAACACCATTTTATAATACCTACCTCCGACCTTCATCTCACCACCTCTCTTTTCTTTCAGTGTCAACAGTGAAAAATGGTTGGCACTTTAGTGACTGTTGTTGCCGAGCGCATACATAAAAAGGTGGTCTCAATTGCTTCCAAAGAAATCGCCCTTGCTTGGGGCTACAAAAAGAAGTTGGACACTCTTGAACATACGTTGAAAATTATATGTGCCAAGTTACGGGATACTGAAAACGAAAAAGGTAAAAACCATGGTGTGATGGTATGGCTGACACTCCTAAAACATGTATTTGGTGAAGCTGATGATCTGTTGGATGAGGTTCATTACGAAATGCTGAGGCATGAGGTGGTGACACGAGATGTAACGAGAATGATATCCTTTAAATCTCTCCCTAGCTTGAAAACATTTTCAATTCGTAGAGGATTGGGACACAGGATCGAAAACATTACCGACAAATTTTTTGAGATGAATGAACATGCCAACAATTTAGGACTACAAAATAGACACCCTCTTGTCCAGGATGGTCTCTATCAGGAGACTGATTCATATCTAGATGAATTCAAAATTGTTGGAAGGGATAGTGATGAACTACATATCATACAACTTTTAACCGAATCAAGAAAAGAAGAAAAAATTAGGATTCTTCCCATTGTGGGAATGGGCGGGATAGGGAAGACCACACTCGCCGAGTCGGGCCTTCCGACCCGCCGAGTAGATCCCGATCCCGCGTCCCTGACTTAATGCCCCTACTCGACGAGTTGGACTCCCAACTCGCCGAGTCCATGCACCAAAACCCTAAAAACTTGTATCCATTAAAAAATCCTGGAACAGGTGTTACACCGTGTGCATTTTTTGGTTGGATTTACATGCTTTTTCGGGTCGGTTTCAAAAATTTTCGATTTTTTTGATTTGGTTACCGGTTTTTTGCATTAACAAATATGTGATTATTACCGAATGATAGATTATAATTTATTAAAAATGATAATTTAAGTTTAATAAAAGAATAAAATTAAATAAGTTACATAATATGTGATAAAAAATTGTGTAACTAACACAAAAAGGGATGATATATTTATAAAGTTTGGCAATCGAATTTTTTTTTCGAGACCGCTCTTGGACCGGTCATAGTCGGTCTCGGAATTGTCTAATCTTTTCTGAGATCGGTCTCGGAATAGTCCGGTCTGTTTTGGACCTTGACGGTCTCGGACCAGTCTTTTCGGTCCGGTCTTTTCATTCTCCGGTCTAATTTTAGGTCGGTTCGGTCTCGGTCTTTTTTCGGGTCCGATCCGAGATCTGTCTTTTTGTGCAGGTCTAGAATCTATGATCCATGCATAATGATATTAAACAAGGTAAACGGGGGTTAACGGTGAATCTAATTTATGTCTTATTTGCGTTTTAAACCACGAGACTGTTGATCATTTATTAATCTCTTGTTATGTTAAATCTTCGATTTGGAACAAATATTGGCCGTTGGTAGAATATTGCTACTCTTTCTTTTACAATCTAGGATATTCTTAAGAAAATAATTATCGGAGTCTAATTTCTATTTAAAAAATATGGGCAAGTTTATATTATTATATATATCGTTGAAGAAAATGATTTAATTATTATTAATTATATAACTCTGATAATTTATATTAATTATGGTCCATCCTTTATGTATAATCAAATACAATATTATTTGTATGAATATGATTCCATGTTTAATAATATATAAATTTCAATAAGACTTGGTCTGTGTGTCCCTTTCCCAATGTGAAAAACTATCACGTAATCCCTATGAGTTTTCTTGTCTAGGCTCACTATTTATCCCTCATATCCAGAATCCTTTCCCTTACATAGAAGAATTTTGAAAGAGAAAAGCAGAGAAGAATTTTGAAAGAGAAAAACAGAAACACAGGTATTTTCTTTTATTTATTGTTTACATGTATGTTATTGCTCGTATGTATAAACTCAATTCTTTTGTTTGTCCGGAAACCCTGGTTTGTGTATGATTCTGATCAAATAAAATTCAATTGATAAAATCTAGTTCACCTTTCATTTATACTCATTAATTAAACCTCAAAACATGGCATGAAATTAGTTGTTGATCATCAATTAAATCTATAAAATGTTTAAGAATCTCTATATACATTTTGATTGTTTACCCATCAAGACTCTCTCTTGTCAAGTATTCATCATGGAAGACATAGAATAAATAATAGTGAGACAATGTATTAACTTATGCGTTTCACTAATGGATGTTTAAAATGGTTTTGATTTTGAAACTTAATGTTTTAAAATGATTTTTTTTAATAAATTGTTCCATATAACAATTGTGTTTTCATTTTAGTTTTTATAGTTCTTTTGATTTTGTAGAAGAAAAAAGCGAACCGAGTATTTAATTGGCATTTTTATCCCAAGCTGATCACATATATGTTGTATGCATGATTTTACTTTTAGGGGTGTTACTAGTTACAGTCTTAAAAGATGAAAAATATAAGAAAATTTGTGGTATATATAGATCAAAACTGAACAACAACAACAACAACAACAACAACAACAACAATAATAATAATAATAATAATAATAATAATAATACATTTTGTCAACTCAATAGTAAAATATAACATTCCACGTTTAGGATAAGTTACTCCTTAAACTTACAAAATAGTCTTTACACAATTTGTCAACTTAAAAATTTAATATAAGTATTTAACAAACTAATTTAGTTCTTCAACATATAAGTTCTTTGCGTAGTGAGCATGGCATAGATAATTTATGAGAAATAAAATATGCTTTTACTTTTCTTCATAATTATCTTTTTATACATATGAAATGATAATAAGTGTTTCAAAATATTATTAATTTTATCAAGATGTGACATATGTTTAAAATACGACTCTTTGATTAGGTCAACATTATTGACTAATTAGTAATTATTTAATTATTTTTAAAAATTAGATAGTAGATATCATTATGTAAAATTAGGATATCAATTAGTATCTTTTAAATTAGGATAACATTATCTAGTAACATTTATATATAGGGTTTTCAATATGTCTTTTTGATTAAGGATCGAATAAAAAGTATAGAGTTTTTACTCTCTTTTGGAGAATCCTTGTGTCTCGAATAACAGGTCTTATCAATTGGTATGTGAGCACCGATTCTGACAAAATCATTGCTCATCGGAGTACTATTCACACCGGTACTATACACGGTGTTCAATATTCATCGGAAATACTTTTCAAGACAACACTATTTATAGGTTACTGTTCATCATTTTTATTTTTTGGGTATCAAGATGGTGAATAACACTGATCGAATCACTCGGCTGGAGACGGACTTGGCTAAACTTCGACAGGATCTGAAAGACGACAAGGATGCGAATTCACAAAGGTTCTACCGGGTAATGAAAGCTACCACTGACTTATTAGGTAAGTTAGGAGTTAAGTTAGGAAGCTTGAGTAGCATAGAAGAGGAAAAGAAGGCAATTTCCAAGGGACTCCAACTGGGAACATTAGAGGAATCTAATAAGAAAGACAATGCATTCAAAGAAGAGAAGGGAAAGGGCATGGAAGAAGAAGAGGGAAACAAAGGCAAATATGACAGTAATTGCAAAAGACCGACCTCCAGAAGATCAAGATGGCCATATGCTATGGTGAAGACGCCCACTGTTGGATCCACCACATGGAACCGTACTTTGAGATCGAAGTTATCGAAGACATTGCACAACTTAAGGAAGGAACTGTCTAAGAGTATGTGAATAACTTCGAGAAGATGACAGGTTGGCTGAGGGAATTGCTAGAACAGGTCTTGGAAGGAACGGTCATCAAAAGGTTAGAATCGAAATTCAAATCATCAGTAAGGGTCATGCAACTCAAGGGTCTAACCAACACAATGGTATTAGCGATTATGATCAATGAAAATCAAGCTCATGAGAACGAGACAAAAAATTATAGGGAATTAGGAGACGATCCACAATTTAAGCAATATTCAGTTCCAGAACTGAGATTTCCACCTTGAGGACAAGGTGTTTGTTTGGGAGGGGAATAATGATACGACTCGCCGATAAGGTCAACATTATCGACTAATTAGTAATTATTTAATTATTTATCTAAATTAGGTAGTAGCTATCTTAATTTGAAATTAGGATATCTATTAGTATCTTTTAAATTAGGATACGATTATCTAGTAACAATTATATATAGGGTTTCGATATGTCTTTTTATTAATGATGGAATAAATATTATAGAGCCTTTACTCTGTTTTAGAGAATCCTTATGTCACGAATAATAGGTCTTATTAGGAAATTGATTATGCATGAATGCACAGATTTGTAATTATTTGACTACAAAAATGAGTAACACCAGATAAAGTAGGAGCTACATACATAATTTTCTAGAGGAATTGGTCGAACATGATTTTGTATGGTCGGGCGTAACTCTTCATGTGAAAAAGATGTTGAAGTACTAGGATAATTAGGAAACTCATTCAAAGATGGAGAAATAGAGGATTGATTGTATGTGGTATCATCAATATTTTCCACATCATAAGACACATTTGGGATATATATATATATATATATATATATATATATATATATATATATATATATAACTTAAATAATTTAGAAGATAGATGTGGTATCATGAATATTTTCGACATCACAACACTTTCTGGCTTATTGACCAAAAGGGCATCGTACAAAAATGCAAGGATGAGCACGGTCCATGAATTTGTCACATACTATTGGTAAAGAAGAAAGAAAACAAGCACAACAAAATTCTTTAAGGGATGTGAAGTTAGGTTTTTTTATTATATAAAACCTCAAAACGAATGCATTTGATGCTGACTTGTAATTGAGTTTTAATGAGAGATAAAAAGGCTTGAATTAGGGAAAAACATAACTTATATGATTTAGAAGATAGAACCATGTGTGTCTTGTGAAATCATTAATGATGATTATAAAATATTTATAAACATCATAAGTAAGATGTTTATAGGGGCCCAAACATCAACATTAAACAAGATGAAATGGAGCTTTAGAATTAGAAGTGTTATGAGGTTAATACAAAGATGATTGTTTATCTTTAGCACAAGTTAAGCATTTATCAATATCACTATAATGATAAGTAGAAGAAAGATTCAATAGGTTTTTCAGAGTATCTAAAGAAGCATGACCAAAATGTTTATTCAACAACATAATGTTTGAAGTAGAATTGAATACATGAGTAGATAATAAAAGAAAAAACACATTAAAATTAAATGAAGGATTTGATTGAGATCATGATACTTCAAAATCTACAAATCATTTATTCTTTTTCCAAGAACAACAAGTTCTATACTACTGTTTAATGATGGGTCCAACATGAGACATCTCTCATCAGTAAACAAAACATATGTTTGTAACTATGATTTGAGTTTGATGATAGAGATGAGATTGTAATTGAAGGATGGAACATATAATCCATCATTCAAGATTATTGCATCATGTATTTAAACATCAACATAATGAGAGATGAATAAAGTATGGCTATTAGGTATCAAAATTAAATGTGGTTGTGTGAATTTGGCCATACATAAAAAAGGATGTGAATTAGAACACATATGATTTAATACTCCAGTATCGATGATAAAAGATAAGTATGGTGGAAAAATATTGAAGAATTATACACATTAGCAACAAAATGTGTAAGGAAAAAGAATTACCATCAACATGTATTCCACTATGAAGTATAGAAGAATTAGCATGAGTTAGAGCATATGAGTAAATGTTGTTTTGATTGAGAGGTTGAATGAGATGTTGATTTTTTTTCTTGACAAATAGTTGATGATACATGAGTAGTTGCAATCTGAATAATAGATTTAGGTTCCCTTTTCTTTGATTTTTTGAATTTGAACATAGATGGAAAGCCAATTAACTAGTAACACTGAGACTTAGAATAACTAAACATCTTGTAATGAGATACACACCAATGTTTCTTTAAAGAAATATGTATTTGATCATTAGATACAACCATAACAATTGTATCAATGTTGATAGTGTAAGGAAGATTGATCTCTTGTGGCCTTGCTCCTGTATGATCATGGAGTAAATAGTAGAAACCGTTGGAAGTGGCTTCATCATCAAAATTTGACCTCAAAGAACTTTATAAGTGAAATTTAAACCCATACCAAATTAAATCAAGCATTGATCTTCAAGATATTTATTAATGCCAATACCAACAATACCTGTGTAATCTAGATTGTGTTGAACAATTCAAAGCTCATCCCAGATCTTCATCCATTTTGTTAAGTAAATGGAAAAATAATCAGATCCTTATGAAGAAGAATACAAATGTTGGTGGATTTGATAAATGAGAGCAACGTCGGACTGTTTATAGCGATGATTAAGCTTTTTGCATATTGCATGAGCAGTTTGAAGAAATCAAACGCTATCATCGATGTTTCGACAACAAAATTTAACAACCAACTACTTACAATAGAGATGACTGTGTACCAGCATGCATGTAATAGAGAATTAATTAATGATAGAGAAATGGTTTTATCGTCGAAAGAAAGGTTCTTTTTGGTAGATAGAACGATAATCATCGATAGTTTCCAGGTGGAAAAGTCAATTCTAGTGAAATCATTAGAAACAAGAAGAGTGCTTGGATTGTCAGATGATCCAAGTTCTTAAAAGGTCTTGATGATTAACAATGATAGATTGTGTATAATCATTTTCAAGAGCATACATGATTGATCAAATTGAGATTGAAACAGACAAATGAATATGAAATTGAAGAGAATTTTGAAAGATTAAGGTCAGTAATAAAAGAGAATTACAGAAGATCGGATCGAAGTAAATACTTGTACCATGCTAAGGTCGATAACAATTAAGAGAGAGTTTTGACATCATTTTTTAATATTGCATTAGAAATGATCAAGCTATAATAATACATATATGGACAGATGAAATAGAGTACAACTACTAACTATATTACCTAACAGAATTAAAGAGAAATTACTAATCTATCCTTTAGTAGTAACTAACTCTAAGTTAGAGTTAGTTATTACTAAGGGGTAGATTAGTAATAACTAACTCTAACTATTTTAGTTTATTGTAACTACCAATGGCGTGATTCTAAATATCATGTAAATAAAGGTTTTTTATGCTATTATTTATCTTATGAGGGGTAATTTTAGATAGTGGCTTTGTTTTTCATTTGCTCTTATTATATGCATTATAACTTCATAATTTTATATTTTATACAAATTTGTGGAGTACAAAAGTTATATCGACCATATTTAAAGAATAAATAATAATAACGTCATTAATAATTGTATTTCAATTTCTTTTGCACTAAACATTTCAAAGGTTCCCTTGGCGATGGGACTAGTGATGAAAGAGTGGAATTCCACACATAACGTCAGAGTTCAAATCCTACACATGCAAAATATTATTAGTGCTCTGTGATTGACCTAACTTATAGATTAGTACGAGTTAACTTTGGACGCTCAGATGATGTAGTTTACTATTTTCTTTTTTTGAAAGGTTGTTGAACTTCATATTCATTAGATGCTCAACATCACACTAAAATTGATTTTTATCTATTAAAACACAACTAAATATTCCATCTCATTCAAAATTTTCATTAAACTATGCATTATAGGGCCATTTGTTTTTGAGAATGGGGTTACTTTTGCTTTTATGTTTTTTCCTTTTATTAAAATTTTATCTAAATAAAAAATCATAAGTTATTCTATATAACATATAGCATTACAAATTTTGTTAGCATCTTTAACATATGCACCAGATTTTGTTTTTCGAAAAATAAAATTTGTCCTATGTCGGAAACTCAATGGTTGATTAGTGAAATTCTAAAAAGATGGTTTTGATCGTTTTAATACAAACTAGCTAGCTCCTTTTAATGTTGGCCACATTTATATTATACGAATACTAGTCAGCAAGTTAAGTAAATTAATTCCAATCCGAAATACTGACAGCCTTATCTGTCGATATTCCATCGGAATAGGACGATAATGAACCGGTAAATCATGCCAACGGTATTCCGTCGTTATTTTTCTGATTTTTGTAGGCATTTTGTTGTTTTTCTAATAGCGAGTACATATTAAAAGTTTCATTATTTTGCATTTTCCATGGTAGTTTCTTATTGTATGCGTGTATGTTTTTCTTTCGGCATAAATTATATATCGAAATTTATGTAAGATAATCTAGATTATCTTACATAAAATATATTTAGTATTACAAGGATTTTTTTTAAAAACTATCAAATAAATCAAAGTCCAATTGCTTTTATTATTTGTTCATAACTTATGTTAATAGGGGGTGTAAGGATTTACTAAAAGTTCAACTAACACAATTAATGTCATGCCAATTAGTTAATCATATTTAAAAAGAAACACCATTTTATAATACCTACCTCCGACCTTCATCTCACCACCTCTCTTTTCTTTCAGTGTCAACAGTGAAAAATGGTTGGCACTTTAGTGACTGTTGTTGCCGAGCGCATACATAAAAAGGTGGTCTCAATTGCTTCCAAAGAAATCGCCCTTGCTTGGGGCTACAAAAAGAAGTTGGACACTCTTGAACATACGTTGAAAATTATATGTGCCAAGTTACGGGATACTGAAAACGAAAAAGGTAAAAACCATGGTGTGATGGTATGGCTGACACTCCTAAAACATGTATTTGGTGAAGCTGATGATCTGTTGGATGAGGTTCATTACGAAATGCTGAGGCATGAGGTGGTGACACGAGATGAAACGAGAATGATATCCTTTAAATCTCTCCCTAGCTTGAAAACATTTTCAATTCGTAGAGGATTGGGACACAGGATCGAAAACATTACCGACAAATTTTTTGAGATGAATGAACATGCCAACAATTTAGGACTACAAAATAGACACCCTCTTGTCCAGGATGGTCTCTATCAGGAGACTGATTCATATCTAGATGAATTCAAAATTGTTGGAAGGGATAGTGATGAACTACATATCATACAACTTTTAACCGAATCAAGAAAAGAAGAAAAAATTAGGATTCTTCCCATTGTGGGAATGGGCGGGATAGGGAAGACCACACTGGCTAAGTTGGTTTACAATAATCCAAAAATTGAGCAACATTTTGATGCTAGAGTTTGGTTGTGTGTTTCGGTTACAGTTGACGTCGACACAGTTCTTGCAAAGATTTGTAGATTTCTTGGCGGATATAAATGTAATTTACAAACTAGGGTCAACCTAATTACATATCTTCAAGAGAAGTTGGGATCAAAAAGATATTTGGTAGTCTTGGATGGCGTTTGGGATAGAGAGATGACACATTGGGATGATTTCCAGAGTTGTATGCTAAAAGTAAACCCACAGAACGGAAGTTGCTTTCTTGTCACTACACGAAATCTTGAAATTGGAAGTAAGGCTTTTAATGAGGAGTTCCACGCTTTGCAAGGTCTTTCAGATGATGACTGTTGGTCTATCTTTAAAGAGAGAGTGTTTGTAGCAGGACAACCATTGTTGCCAGAATTGGAGGAGATAGGACGTGATATTGTGGACAAGTGTCGTGGTTTGCCCTTGTTAGTAAAGGTAATAGGAGGCATGTTGCGAAACTATAATAACAAAGAGAAATGGTTGTCCATCAGAGATAGCAACGTTTGGGATCCAGAAGAAGGACATATAGTTAAAAAAATCTTGAAACTAAGCTTTGATAATCTGCCTAATTATGTTGTCAAGCAATGCTTCACATATTGTTCCATTTTCAACAACAGCAGGGTCATGAACAACAAAGAACTTATCCAATTGTGGATGGCTTTAGGGTTGGTTCTAGATGATGAGAGTACAAAAAAGGAGATGGAGGACGTTGGAAATGATATTTTCCAAATTTTAGTAAGAAGTTCAATGCTCCAAGATGTTAAAAGGGATGAGTATGATTACTTCACTTATTTTGGCATCCATGAAATTGCTTCTTGTGGTATGCATGATCAGATGCATGATCTTTCAGTATCACTTTCCAAACATGCAAGCTCGTGTCTGATGCTTTCGACAAATAATGATATTGTACATATTCCTCAGGTTAAACATCTTTCTATGTACCAAGAACGGAATGAGCATTGTGAATTCAACACCAAGCTTTCTAGGGTGATAAAAGATTATCTCACAACTAGAAGTTTGCAAACACTGTTCTTTGAGGGTGAAATTGAGAAAGGCATTTCCTTTCAACGTTTCAACTCCATACGAATACTAAAACTCTCTTGCTGTGAAGTAGAGGAGCTAGACGATTCTCTTGGAGAGTTGGTGTATCTTAGGTTTCTTGATTTATCATACACCCGAATCCAATTTCTTCCAAAATCTATTGGTAAACTTTACCATTTGCAAACTCTCAAGTTGTATGGCTGCTATGGTCTCCTAGGATTGCCGGAGGAAATGACAAATTTGATAAGCCTAAGAAACTTAGAGTTTCCAAAAATTGTCAGAGTGCACAAGGTGGGACAACTGACTTCTCTACGAACCTTACCTTTCTTTGGTGTCCATGGATGGAAAGGATATCAAATTGAAGAGTTGGGTAGTCTGAAACACCTTCATGGAGAGATCCAAATTTTCAATCTGGAAGAAATTAGCAGCAAAGAAGATGCTTTGAAGGCTGATTTATCAGGAAAGAAAAATTTATACATGATTGATTTCATTTGGTCTAGGAATGAAGGTTTCAATAGAAATGACTTGGATGTATTGGAAGGCTTGCAACCCCCTGAAAATGTGAAACATTTGACAATTGTAAATTTTTCTAGTGATAATTTTCCAGCATGGGTAATGAAGATGTCAATCAATAATGATGGAAAATGGGCGCCCCTTCGTAATCTCGTGGGGATCAAATTATCTGGATGTAGCAGTTGCCTCTATCTTCCGATCCTTGAGTACTTGCCACTTCTTCAAGATCTTGTGTTACAGAACATGGACAATTTGAAATGCTTAAAAACTTCTTTACACCAAGGCGACAATGTTACAAGATTAATGAAGCCTTTATCTCCATCACTGAGATCTCTCCAACTAAGTGGTATGAAAAGACTAGAAAAATGGATAGATACAACAACGAATAGCTCAACAATGATATCGCCTGTCCTTGAGACGTTGCATATTCATGAGTGCCCAAAGATAATTCTCTTAGACGAATGGCATCCCCATCCTCTTGTTTCCTTACAAATAGATAGTTGTGATAACCTCGTATCCATTAAGAGCATTCAAGGCCTAAAATCTCTGGAATCTTTAGAAATCCACAAATGTCCTAATCTTTTAAGAATACCCGAGTTATCCCACCAAGGAAATTCTTTAAAGATCATGAGAATCATTTGCAGCAGTAAATTGACTTACTTACCTCGTGAAATATTCAACTGTTTTTCCTTCTTAACCAAGTTGTCACTTGGTCCCTTCTCCAATGAGCTCCATTCTTTCCCAAGTCTCCAAGGAATAGAGAAGTTGAGAAACCACCTTCGCTCGTTAGAATTGTCTGGTTGGCATCATTGGGAGTCAATACCAGAAGAAATAAAACACCTAACGTTACTCACTCGGCTTTTCATATATGGTTTTGGAATGCAAGAATTGCCCACCTGGTTAAACAATATGTCATCTATCCGAGATATGAGGTTCTATGATTGCCCCAGGTTGGATAGAGGACTGGTTAAATTGGGAGCACTACGGGGAAGTGGATTATGTCTTCTTAAATGGAATGAGAGTTATATGGATATGTTAGTTGATTAGAGGTTTTAGTTTGCAAAAAGGTTGAACATGGTTTTGAGTTCATGTATTTTACTTTGTCTGTGTGGTTATTTCATCTTTATAAACATATATAATCAATAATATCTGTCACAATTACAGGAATCACTTGCAACATTCTATTTAAAAGATTTATTCAAGTTAACTCACCAATTAAGTTGGAGGGAGTTTAGTTTTGAGTATTAAGTAACAAAGGGGGCTTGCTGGACCACCAGGTAACATCCATAAAAATCCTTATGAGTGAAAATGAATCTTTACTAGTATTAGCATATGCAATGATTTGTAGGGAATGGTATCATTCTCTTATAGCCCCTGTAATAATATGACTTGCCCAGCGAATAGGAACGTAGTGGTTGAAATGCAAAATTTCACACAGAAGGATGCCTCTTATAGGTTTAAGGTTCACTACATGAAATGTCCTTTTTAGCGACCATTTCTTTAGTGACTACTTAAAATATTGTCACTAGTAACATCATTGTCACCATATATTAAGTCATCATTTTCGAACATTAAGATAGCGACACAATAACGATCATTGAATTAAAAAATGCAAAAATTTAGTGATTATTTATAATTTGGACAAAAAATTAGTGAGTATAAAATAATGGCCATTAAATAAAATTGCAAAATTGCAAAATAAATTGTTACAAAAAAATTGTAGTCACTGCATTGGAGGCTAAATGACCAAAAATAATGGTCACTTATTTGAGGCTTAATGACAAAAAATTATGGTCACTGTATTCAAGACTTAGTGACCAAAAATAACGGTCATTGTAATGACCAAAAATAATGGTTATTTGAGACTTAGCGAGAAAAAATAATAGTCAGTAAATACTCTTCTTTTTCTAACCTGCCTTAATGTCAGATAAAAATATTATATATTATAACTACGTAGCAATGGTCATTAAATTTTTAATGATCATAAAATAATGGTCATGAACTATTTATATGTTTATAAGTTGAACAAAAGATAATGGTCACTACAAACTAAATATTACAAATATTGTTATTAACTAAACAACAAAACTGAGAATTATAAACTTAAATTTTGTAAATGGTCACGAGGATAGTTTGGTAATTACCATTTTGATTGAAAGGCATTATGGTAATTTCACATGAAAAACACAATATTAGATATTATTGTGTCATTACATAGATGTTTGATTATTTCATGTTAATAATTTTCAACCATTTGATGATTATTGTATGATCATAAATATAAACTCAGTTACGAAATTATCATTTGTATAATTTTATTACATTTCATTTCATTGCATAACTTATCAAAAAAATGAAAATGACAACAATGCCCTTACTTTGAACCAATGAAAAATCGCATCTCCATTACGCACAATCCTTTCCTCCCTTTCTTCTATTCACAATCTGCATCGACCACCGCCACCATCGTTACCATGCATTTCATCTTCCGCCGATGCTGCTCCAAGGCATGTATGTATACCAACATAAGCTTCTAAGACTTACAATTTATTCTTCTGCTTCGATTTTAGGTATGTTTCTCGACACTCTTCTACTTCGCATGACGATCGTTTTTGCAGAAATAATACATCAACTTCAATTTTTTATTTTTTAATATAAAACATCCAATTGCTGTTCATTTTAGGTGGATTTCAGTATTGTTGTTATAGGTTAATTTCGCTAAACTTAATTCCTTCAATTTTATGAACAACAAGTGTTGTATGAAATTCCACAATGAAATGCTAATAGTACACTGCAATGCGAACCAAACACGCTTGTAGTACACTTGCCAAGACTTGTGTTTCCCATTTTCATGCATACTTTTGATTTCAAACTCTATATGACATTATCTTTTTATCAATCTCTTTTATAAAATACTAAAATGTGCATAAGGATTGTATCATGGAAGGCTGAGTGAATGTGGTACCACATATGGCAGGCCATATCTTCCCTGTGAATTGAGAAGTGGAGCCCTTGGTCCCAATGAGTTTGTTAAAACTTTATACTTATTGCACACTACAACTTACTACATTTGTAAGTTATTCACCAAGTGTTTACAACCCTCACCATATTACACTTATATAAGGCGAAAAATATCATCATACTTCCATTTCGTCCTTTGGAAAAAGCTAGCCATTTATAGCAAAACATTATTCAAATAAAAAACAATTTCATTGGTACAATACTATAAAACCTTAATAAGTAAAAAATGGAAAGTACACATGCCACCGGTTTGTTGGAATCCTATGTCACATAGGACCTTGGAGACCAATCAATCTAGTTTATGGCAAGTTGGTCTAAAGCTAGTTTCCTTATTCTATGTTACAAGTCGGTGTTTAGGATTATATATACATTGTTTTAGATCGAGTTATGATCATTGAGAGACATTGTAAACACCATTACTTTTTAGTGATTTTCACATAATAATCAAAGAGTTATTTTGGTTAATTGTGTTTACATATTCTGAACTTAAATTGGTATCAGAGCTCGAGTGTTGGAAGCTTTGAGATCAAATACTTGCCTGTTGACGAGCTGTTCAACATGTCAGATACAGGGGAAGAAGGAGGAGTTGCTCCGGTAAGGGCAAAAGAAGTAGGATCGACTGTCGTTGCTTGTCCCATGCTCAATTCGACAAACTACACTGTGTGGGCACTAAGAATGAAGGTTGTCTTACGAATTCACGAAGAATGGACTGTAATCGATCCAGGAACATATGAGAATGAAGAAAAGGATTTCCTGGAGATGGGCTTGCTATATCAGGCTATCTCGGAGACTCTAATCATGCAGATTGGAGATGTTGAATCCTCAAAGGCGCCCTGGGATGCGCTTAAAGCTTGTAACGACGTGATTTTTCAAAACAAAATTTTCAATTTTAAAAGTCATAAAACATATGTCTCATCATTGATTCTAAAAAACAACCAACAAGTTTTCAGTACTGTTGAAAAATGTTTTTATATGTGATCATCACTGAAATAAGACGAATTGGTTTTATATTATCTAACAAATATTATCAGTTATTTCAGGTTGCGTGGATTCGTGCTTAATTATGAAATAGAAAAATATGCAAAAGACGAAATACGCAAAGACGGAAAAATAGACGCAATATTTGGTCGTTTGAAAACAAAACAAATCAACACTAAAATTGTCAAGAATTTAAAAACCTCAAGGGTCAAAAATGGAAATTCAATTCACAATTGGATATATATATATATATATATATATATATATATATATATATATATATAAATATATAATATATATATGTATATATATTATATTGTATATATATATATATATGTATATATATATATATATATATATATATATATATATATATATATATATATATATTGGAAAGAAATCTTCACAAAAGCAAAAGTACCAAACATCATGTGTGCTTCCAACCCTTACAATCAATCACTTCATTACTTTACCTTAAACAAACAAGAGTTGCTTGATTCCTTTGCATATATATAGATGCATGTTTACATGAGTTTTTGTGTGTGTTTTGTGTTTCCTTGTAATATATCTCCTATTACTCTCTCATCTCCAGAAGAATAAACACATAGCCAACCTCAAAATACTCTCCAAACACCCTCCAAATACCCTCCTTAAACCTCCTCCAAAAACCCTTTCAAATCACCACAACCATCATCACCTTGCTGATTTTCGACTTCAGAATTTACAAGTTAAGAAAAAATTCACCGAGCACAACTCAACAAGATAATACGGGAGAGATTTGCAACGCAAATTATTCAGGACCTTACCTACATCCAGGAATTTTCCTCGATTTTTTTGACCACTGCAAACCCCAGAGAGACGCGAGAGAGAATTGGCTATCCAGAGAGATTTACTACGAAAATCTATATTCATAACCACCCAAAGCTCTTTCAACATCACCCTCTTTGTTACCTTATACCACCAAAACTACAACCTTATTCCACCTTCTACCACCCTCCAAATACCCACTTCAACCTCATCAAATCACCTTAAAAAACTCATACCCACATACAAAAAACATTACCCGTGTATTTTGTATCGTTTTGTAAACAATTCATTGTTACATAAAAAGAACTTATTGTTACTTACCGGATTGAACTTTGAACAAATAGAGACACAGTCTATTAAGATCCAGTCCAATTCTAAACCAGTTCAGTCAATTTATTGACGAACCGACTTTATATATATTTATATATTTATATATTTTATTACAGCTTTACGTCATTTAAATACTGTCATTTATTTCATTTATAGCTTTCAGTCATTTATAGCTTTCCAGTTTATATTTATTCCGCACTTCTTATTTTTTTTTCGCATCTTATCTCCTTAAATATATATATATCTGTCACCCAGTAACTGGTATCCGAGCCTTTATTCGTGGTAATCAGATCGTATATTTTCAACAATTGGTATCAGAGCTTGTGTGATTTACCTTGAAATTTTTGTCGAAAACTTTTGGTTAGCGTTTATAAACCTTCCATAAGCTTTTCTTTAAAAATTTCATTTTAATATCACTTGTTCAAAATCCTTAAAAAAAATTATTAAAAAAATTAAAAAAAAAAAATTTAAAAAAAAAAAATCTTAAACAAAAAAATTCAGAGCTTGTGTGATTTACCTTGAAATTTTTGTCGAAAACTTTTGGTTAGCGTTTATAAACCTTCCATAAGCTTTTCTTTAAAAATTTCATTTTAATATCACTTGTTCAAAATCCTTAAAAAAAATTATTAAAAAAATTAAAAAAAAAATTTTAAAAAAAAAATCTTAAACAAAAAAATTCAGAGCTTGTGTGATTTACTTTGAAATTTTTGTCGAAAACTTTTGGTTAGCGTTTATAAACCTTCCATAAGTTTTTCTTTAAAAATTTCATTTTAATATCACTTGTTCAAAATCCTTTCAAAAACAAAAATTTTATTATGTCTTCTGCTAATTATTCCAACATGAACTCTGTTTCTATTGCTAACAGCTTGGGATCTGGTTCACGGGCACCCATACTTATTCCTGAAGAGTAT